TCAGGACACAAAAGGATAAATCGAAGTTCATAATAAATACCATAAGCACAGTTTCTTACCTTTGAGATAGAATTTAATCCATGTAAGCCTTGTGCAAAGAAAGATACAGTCCCGGAATACAATATCCTCAGACGAAATCGACGGCGATTTCCTTAGCGGTTAGACTGGTGCATGCGCAATACGGTATGCCAGTTCTCTTGCGAGATGTCGTTAAAACTCAGATTTTTCCGGTAAATTTCGGCACTTGTACTAGTAAAATGTTGAAAATCACAGAAAAACACAATGAAAGTTTGGCAAATCAAAAAAATACTTGGCGTGCATATGTATGGCATTGAGAATTACATTTGCACCAACTTTGAAAAAAATTGGACAGAGCATATCAAAGTTATAAGAGGTAAAAGACGGACGGACGGACGGACAGAACCCAATCTATAAGCCTTCGACAGACTTCGTCTGCGAAGGCTAATAAATTATGACTTTACAGCAATTTATATCATTATTCAGGTTCCACTAAAAACACAACACCCTTCATTTCTCAATAGTTTGAAAATAAACAACTACAGATAAAAACACTGACATATGAAGACCTATGTGAGCATAATTATAAAAATTATATATAGACTAAACAAACAAGAGATCTGTTTAATGCAACATGATGATCTACACTATCGGTAATTTGCATATCATTAGATGGTATATTGATTATTTAAATGGTCCTTTGTCATAGCAAAGCATCTAACTTTGGGATTTCATACTTTAAGCTGAGTTAATATATTTAAAATATATGCAAATTAGTCAAACTGAGAGTTGTCATAGTATTAGCAGCTATGAAATATTCATAGAGTAATTGGATACAAGTAAAGAATGTCATGTGTATGATATGTCCTTGTGAAAAAAATGTCTGTACAAATCTAAAATAAATATTGAAAACAGACTGTGTACCTTGATATGTGAAATAAGGCAATTGATGAGTGAACCTTGTACCATATGGCACTTGTAAAATACCATCATGCATTAGTCTCTGTATAATGTGTATTACAGTATCCCATTCATGACTGGTGCATTGTGGGAGTACTTGCACCAGTGCAGACAGAGTAACTTTGCAGAAGTTCAGTGAA